TTGAAAGTACATAGAAAAACAGGCATTCTGAGAGTGAGCAGAGTCGTCTCTCCACAGATTTGAACTGTAACTTGGTCTGGTTTGGTCTCCATGAAGACAGGAAGGTTTAATAACATACCGTGAAACATTCGAGACAAAGAAATAACATTTCCATGAAGAAAAGCATGGTTAGCAAAATAAGTAAGCAGATTAGCAAAATAAGTAAGTAAAACAGCTACATAGTGCACCTTTAACCAATGAATTGATACTATGGGAGCAGTTATCAAAGCTTGAAATAACATCTTAGAATTTAACAAATCACGTTAAAAGAAAACAGAAATAAAGTATGCCGATAAATACAATGCGATTAGGCCTGGCACAATAATTATTATATTGACTTATTGTTCAATATATAACAGCTGGAACAATATATTTTGGGACTCAAAATTTATCATGTGTACATTTTCTTTATAAAAGTGGGGAGATCTGGGGTATTTTTGTTGGAATACAATAAGATTTGAGCTGTTAAGAGTTGAATAAATAACTTCTATGGCTAATTATTGGTTCAGTCAGCTATTTATTTGTTGCAGCTTGTTCTTTTTAATGATACTGTTACTACATAAAATGGTTTATTGTGATTATCTTTTATTATTGTTATTTTGTCAGTTCAATACCATCATTTATTACAGTATATCTCTGTAGCAATATATCACGCTTCAACATTTGTTATCGTGACAGGCTTAGATGACATGGTAAGAGAATATCTTCAAGAGGTATAAAACACTGTTAAGTACAAGCATTGATTCTGGTACTTTAGATTCCCTGTTAACAAGCCAGTAATGTAGCATCATATTGCAGACTGATGCCGTCTACAGTAGCAGCTAATGGTGTGGTGTGACTTTGTGTGCGATCAATAATTTGGTGTCCCTGTGAACTGTGTTGCTTGGCAGAGTGTGATACAGCACCAAAAAAGAAGTTGAAGAGACACTTTTCTGGTACAACTTGTTTGTATTGACGTTGCAACTGTCAAATCCTTCAGCAGATAAGTCATATCCTCTGAGGCTGCCGGTTTCATCACAGTCATATTACAAGAATAACTGTTCAGCCTGTATAAATTGAGAGAATTACAACAGCAAGGGCATCGACGGTCAAAAGCGATGCCATTCTAAAAATAATAATAATAATGATAATTCTAAAAATAAGCTGAGCATGGCATTTCAGGTCAAATACTATGTGTTTACAGTCTGATAGAGCCTTGATATTGTAATATAACTCATTTTTATATTTCAGTCACCCCACGTAAGGAATTATTGTATTTTTGAGCAATAGAAACACTCGTAATGAATGAATGCTGATGGATATGTTTAATGTCATTCCATGGAACAACTCCATGGAGACAAGCAGGTAGTGGACCCTCCACCAGAGCAGTTGCACAGTGCATCTTCAAAAGCATATTAAAATACTCAACTCAGGGACCCTAAACATGCATATTTGACCATTAATTAACAGGTGTTTGTATGTATAGAATGCATCAGTCATGTGTTTTTTTTTTATTTTGAAAGGCAGCAAGACTCATTATACACCATTTATTCTCACCATAATTCGCTCAATACTTTTCACAGTATCTGAAAAGAACTTAGGGCTACACAGTGAGGACATATACTCCATTGATACTGATGTTCATGGTGGAAACACTGACCACTTTCTGTGCACCCTCTCATTTGCTTTAAAATGAACATTAAAAAGCAATAGTTATCAAAGGGCTATCAAAGGGTTATCTATCAAGAAAACTTGTTATCTTTCCATCTGCTTTTGAGGCTAATTTGTCGACCATCCATTCTCTGTTACTGACACGAGATGCTAGCTTTTTGACAAGCTATCAAAACTCACACAGGCACAATCGATAGCTCGGCGCTGCAAGAGGAACAGTGACGGATCTACAAGTCCCTGCTGAGCCAGCAAACTGTTGCGGTGGGAAGAAAAGTGAGGCGGCCACGCAAACACTTCCCACATGCCAACAAACAAGCACGCTCACAGCATTCAACTCCCTCTCTCACACACACACACATGCAATTTTCACATTAACACTCTCCCTCACACACACACAAGAGAGCTAACACCTGCACATGGCGTCCTGGGCAAACATACACACACAGTTTTCAAATAGACCCGGGGGCGGCCACAGTAAATGAAGCTCACAGACATAAAGCGCTGACATCAATCAAGCAACACTCGCAAAGCTCTGGCTCCCGATGGACACCAAGTCGCATCTGCCTCTCCTGTAAGTGCTAAACAAGTTTAAAAAAATGAAAAAAGGGGTTTACACTTGTTTACACAGCCAGAATAAGTAGTTTCTTTTCCCCATGATGTGCATATGTGTTTACCAGAATGGCAGAACATTGTAAAGCATTTTGTTGTTCGCGAATAGCCCCTCTGATTGGCGCTGATTTGCCGACATAAAAGAGTTGCTCCACAGGTACGCACAGCTGAGCACTACTTTTACAGGCATCGCAGGGGAAATGTGGATCTAACATACTCACAAAGAGCTGGGACTCCCTCGGCAGTGACTAAAAGCCAACTTTGCTCAAGACGACACTGCAGGAGGATTTTCTAGCTTAATAAACTCCAGGACTACACCACAGCCATGCAAAATCTGATGAGAATTTGTGACAGAGCCCAAGAGGCAAACATGCATAAATCCTAAACTATAATTAGCATATTACTGTATTTTAATCAGAAAAGAATATGAGCTTCATACACTGATTATATAGTAATAACCAGCAAGACAACTAATCAAGCTTACATTCATTCACTATGGGTCATTTAGATTCACTAATTGCTATATTAATAAAATACTTACATCTCTTTGGTACAGTGAAATGGAGCTGAGCAATTTGCTAAGAATCATATTTATAATCTTTTTTTTATATATATTCTATTTTATACTGAAAAACAGTACAATAGAAATGGTAGATAACAATGCAGATTTCTTCCTCTTAAGTCTGAACTCTGCTCCAGACCCCATGATTTTATTGGCAGAGGACTGGCTAGTTTTCCTTATAGAGAAAGCAAATCCTGAGAACACAATTGACTGTAAGCATTGTCAAGTACAAATATACTTTAAATTCTTTTTAGTAGCCACTCACTCATGGATGTCTGTTGGATCGTGTATATACAAACGCTTTCTAAAACTGACAACTGATATCAAAAAAGTGTTTAAAAATTACTACAATTCCCGTAATGCATTTTCAAATTGCCTCGTGAGAAAACATAATTGTTGTTGGTGTGGTGTCTGGAATTCTTCATTCAAGGTCTGTGAGCCTCATAGCCCTTTTTAAGATTTTTTGCATAGAGGTGATTAGGTTCAGAGGGCCCACATTCCATGAACTGAGACATAATGTATAGGAACATCTGGAAATGTTGAATGGAATGTCTTTGGACAATAGTGATCAGGTTGTGAAAGAGTATGTTCTATAAAAAACTATAAAACCAGAGAATATCTTATTTACCGGCACAGGTCATCCTGACTTCATCACAAACGTGTGAGGACAGTCCCTAACGTAAAATAAAGATGATCCCAGATAAGCTATGTCATGCTATAAAAACATGTAAAGCCTGTTTTATTGTGTGGCTATGTTTGACGCATAAAAGTGATGCGTGTGCTCATTCATATCACACTGTGTACCCCCTGACCTTATCCAGCGCTGTCGCAGAGTACAGAGCCACCTCTTTGTCAAAATAAAACCCGAAATAGAAGTGAAAGATGAACCAGAAAGTATCAATGTAAGAATCCACTCAAAAGCACAGATACATAATATAATACATAATCAATGGCGGCAGATGGAGTTACCAGCTGATTAGTACATGAGAGATATACTGAGCGAATGGGATTGTGTGATGTGAGTGTGGGTCCTTGGCATTGCTTATGACAAGAAGCACTCCACTACCACTAAACAGAGCCTGTTTTCTAAGGCTGCCACATGGTTTTAACCGTCAAAATCACAGGATCAGAGCTGACAGATCATTTTGTGAGTTTACCTAGCCCCGAGGGACAGTGCGCAAATTTGGCCAGACGCTTTTATCCGATAGAAAGGAGACCACAACACAGCGGTAAGTATGGGAGTCTTCAGAGGACACAACTAAATGGTCCTAAAACTTACGTACTGAGTATTTTTAAACATTGTAGAGAAAAATGCAACATGCAGTGGGCATACAAAGTAATAATAGTAGTATAATATTGGTTGGTAAAGTGATGTCATAACATTTGTAGTGTTTATAGTCTAATAGTTCTAATACAAATGTTATTATTGTAGAAACAGTAGTAGATAAAATTCTAGGGAAAAAACACCCTGATTTCGTATTAATGGACAGAAAGGTTTCAAATGTAGTGATGTGAACACTGTCTTCCTACCGTGGACCACTCCTGGACAAATGCGGGATTACACCAGTTTCTTGTTTCATATTGTTTGGTATTTTTTCCTTTACGTGACAATTAATAAAATACTTACATTTTAACTGAGTTTTCAAGTAATTTTACCTCTGGTTCTGTATTGCAATTATTCTCATTTCAAACTTTTTAATGCACCAAAATGGTACTGTCTGTGAAATGTCTTCTGAATCCTGACTATGACTTTGTTTTTGTCTCCTTTTCCCTGTGCGTTCATTATTCTGCCATGAAGATTTATATCAACCTGAGAGTGGAATAGAATTAGATTTACACTAGGTGGGTTCCCCTTCGCTGTATTTCTGGATGTTTTCCAGCTGCCTTGTGTGACTTTCGAAGAATTAATACCTCCCTTTCAAGTTAATTTGCTGTCGATCCTCCCGGAAGCTATTCTCATACTATTTTAAATGCCAGTCTTATTAGCATGTGGCAGTGGAACTCATATGTTCAGTAAGAAGCTTTTTAATGAAGGCTACGGGCTAATAATTGAACAAATTAACACTGAAGCCCCATCAGGTAGCCCGCGCTTTGATGTGGAGTGCTATTAGAGGTCCATTAGTAAATATGAAATTCTTACCATAAACTCCTTGGGCCCAGGCATGTGAGCAAATGCAGCAAAATAACAAAATCCAGAAAATGTCCATGTTCAGCTCAGTTGCATCATAACCTAAGAGACGGCACAAACAGAAATCAACTTAGTATACTGTTTGGAATGGTGTTTTCTGTGTCACTAGATTACAACATTTTAAGCTTTGACAATAATATTACAAAGCAATTTATTCTGGGCACGCAGCCTACTGTATATCCTCATTCAACCCAAAGGGCAGGTAATTCAATCACAAATCTGATGTGTGCTTCAGATTGACAGGACTGGACTATCTGTGGCAAAGTTAGCATTGGTTTTGTGAATTAGGAAAAAGTGAGTGGGGAGTGAGGAGCAAGAACAGGCTAAAACACACAGATTACACGTGTATTTGTGGAGGATTATAAGGAGCAAAAGAGATGATCACTCGAGACCAACACCACATACACAAAAATCAATAACGTTGAAATACATCTTTATAATTGATGTGAACTTGTTATCTTCTGAGAATTATCTTGGTAAAAGTGAAGCAGCTTTATAATAGAGGTTCTGGTTTTACTTCTTTGTCCTCCAAAGTCTCATTTGCCTTTTGACTCATTTCCCTACTGCCCATGATCTTTGACATAGAACTTTGTACAGACTTTCAAAGTTACAAAATTGTGCATCGTCAATTAGTTTGGTAATGCAAAGAAAGATGTAATGAAGAACTTTAATTCGCCTATATCATGTTAAATTTATTTATTTTTTATTTTTTTCCCAACAAATATCTTTTTCATCAAGTTTGTTTGGTTTGTGCAAACTTTTTCCTAATCCATAGGGTTTTTTGAGGAAAGGTGTGCACCTCTATAATGTAAAGTCCAGAATGCGCACGAGGATGGCGCCAAAAATGGACATTGGGGGACAGGTTTATATTCCGTACCTTGCTCCCGTGTCCGGTCCTCTGGTCAGTGCAGCGCCGAGCCGTGCGCACTCCTCTGGGTTTTTCTAGCACGATTTCTCCGCTCTCCTCCGAGCCTCACCGTCACAGCGGGAATTAAAACAAAAGTTATAAATCCCCTTTAGATCCCGAACAAACTCTCCTGTGTACGCTGAAAATGTAAGAGTTTGTGATGCTCCGAAGCCGCTCAACGCATGTCCATTATGGTGAACTTTTTCTCTTACGCGCGAAGAGCACTATTTTCTTTCTTTTTTTTTTCTCTCAGATATAAAACCACTGAAAACTCAAAACAGAACGATCCTGGTCCCTTCAGTGGATGTAAACTCTTTGTTGTCTCTTTATTCTCAGCCTCGGACCGGAATCAGAGCTCTATAGTGGAACCCCAGCGTTAACACAATCATGTGCTCTGAAAACGAGCCTCCCCTTTTCCTCCGCTCGTTCAATCAGCGCTGTGTCTGTGGACTCCGAGTGATTGTGGCCAAGTGGAATATGTGCGCAGACTGAAAACGACCGCCCCTGTCTGAGAACGGAGAGAGAGGAGTAGAGATAGAAGGAGGAGGAGACTGGCATACTGAAATACACACAGATGAGCAGCTCGGGCATCACACTTTGGAGAAGAACAGGTTGTTGAAGGAGCTGTTGTTGCTTAGTCCCCAGTTCAGTTTTATTATCTTGTGCGCAGTGGCGGGAATTTTAGCTAATTACTTTGCATGCAAAACCGTATCCTTGCATGGCTGTAAATTGGATGGTTGCACGGGTCATGCACCTGGACCACTGGTTTAAACAAGGACAAGAATTTCAATTGCTCATTTGAATATCCTCTCTTTACGCAACAGGATGTCTGGAAGTGCCAAGAGTCCCGGCGCTTTGTTTTGGAATTCTTTTATGTTGTTGTGCTTTGTACAGACTTTGTACTCCCGACCAGCATCAAACTGCCAATTAAAAGCTCTATACTTTGTCTAATACCTAGCGGAGCAGCCCTTAACTGCACCTCCCCATCCCGTAGGACCAATTATCTATGACGGTAAAACGAGCAGAGTGAACCCACACGCGCCTAGTCTTTTACACTTGCGAGCGCGTTCAATTCACATTCTCTCCCTTCTTGCCTCCTCAGATAGTGTAGCCGAGGCGCCAGCGCTGCAGTAGTCGTTGTTACCGCCAGAGGGAGTGTTTCAGTTGGTTCCGGGTGGTGCTGATGTTGTGTGACTGATGGCGCGGGCCTAAGAGACGTATGATGTTATAGGCTCAGTGTTATCTGACCTGCGAGTTATTATATGACAGACAGAAACAAGAGGCCCTTATACAAGTGAACCCATTATGAGGGGGATATGATATCGCAACATGACACTGAATAATGAAGCTTCATATGATTATCTCACTTCTACAGACAAGGAAGGCATTAAAAGTCCATACACAGCATGTAGGCCTATATGGGTTATAGGTATTTCAGTAAGGAAGTTCTTGTTTTATTTGGGGTGACCTAACAAAACAAAAATGGACGTTATATCTCAAAAATTTTACAAAAACAATGTGCAAAAAACTTTAAAATATATTTAAGAGCATGATAATACAACTTTAGGGACTCTGCGTGCCAATTTAATTGGGGACCTGACCTATGAAAACAGAAAAATTCTTTATTCCTAAGTGAAAGCTTATGGAGACTCTTAAAAGATGTAAAAACATTACATTTTAGACATACTGTACAAAGAGAAAAGCACAGTATATACAATATGTGTGATGATGGCTTCACATTGAAAACTCTTAATACCCAATAAAGCATTTGGCATGATGTACAGGGAGTGCATTATTGATGCTTATGGCAATGAACCTGTGAAGAAACAATGCTGTTAGGAGAAGGAGCAAAGCCTTAAGCTTCAGTGGTGAGTGCTGTTGGGGAAACGCACACCATGGCCATGTTCTTAACCTTAGTCTGACCTTAACACAAAGACCTTGTTCTCAGCATAAAGACATGCCACCCTGTCTGTCACTGTTCACACAGACTTCACTTCATTCCAGGTGCCATAAAGTGATATCAATGTGAGTGACAGCATCAGGAGAAACACAATAACAGCTGACATGCCAAATGTCGGATGTATACTTTACACTTGATGTTCACTTGAGGTATGATATTTACAGATCAAGCTCAAAATTGGCACTAATTTACAATATAGCCTTTTCATGCACAGTCAGATAGCAGAGCACAAGAATTAAATGGAGTGGAAGGGGGTTAAAATGTGAAATCCATGTCATATTGATACATACTTCAGAAGGAAAAGGGAAAGAGTAGACACAACAGGCCTGCACATGACTTGAGCAGGCCAGCATAGCTCTGCAGTGTGTAATGGTATCTGAGGAGTTTGGTTAAATCCTTTCTGGTACCATGCTCAGTAATTGATGTTCCCATCAGTGTAATTCAATCATAGCTCAAATGCTGTATATCAGCACCAAGTACTTCCCCACACAGAAAGAGCTAAATGGACAGAAAAGATACACTAGAGACCTACAATAATTTCATTGTTTGCTGGTGTGTGTGAGAGTGTGTGGATGACAGCTAGCCATCCTCACTGACAGACAGCAAAAGCAATGCTTTTTTAGTTTAATAGAGATGTGATAACCAGGATAAGACATGACAGCTTGACATGGGAGCCACAGAGGCCTGAGAGGTAGCCACTTTCACCAGTATGAGAGTGACAGGAGACAAGCCCATAGTGATAGGACAGCCCAGAGGCAGGCATGCTGCTTGTGTGTGTGTGGAAACAAGAGAAACAATTATCATCTGTTACCATGGCTTTATGAGCACATATAAAACACTGTTAATTAGTTTTACAAGTAATTGCATCGGCTTGTTCTTTCAATTAGCATCACTCACTAACACAACAGCCAACACATGTTATATACAGGTCTCCTAGTGACGGTGCTCAGCAGAAGTAAGAAGACTATGGGGACATTAAGAGACACGTTAGAAGTATGACATTAAATATGACACAAGATTCAGAAGTATTGTTTACAAAACAAGCTTGAGATCAACATAAGAATGGTTAAAGGTGATAAAATGACTGATACATGTTTGACAAATCACCCTTTATATCAGCTCATCCAGAACAATAGAGGGCAGTAGCTTTGTTGGCTGAGCTATTCCCCAGCTTGCCAATATAATTTATATCATTTAGCAAGTATTACAACTGCAACATTATTTAAATTCAATTTGTTTTGTTGAATACTGGCACATCGTGCGTAATACTTTTGATACATTGTATTGTTCACTGCAGATTCCTGGAGGGTACTGATAAATTAGCATTGTCATTTTCAAAACTAAACTTCTGTTGCAGTATATTTTGTCTTTAATCAGAAGCATACACTGAAATACAAACATGTTTTTAATATCTAACCAGCCAATGGGAGCAGCTTTGCTCCTGTCTCAAGCCCAAAACATGGAGGCATCCTTTTTACCCTTGCCTAATGGAAAAAAAAAAAAAATTGAGGATATCGAAAGTGTGACATTACATGCTGTAATGTTACGCCTCATCTTAGCTGGTCACAGTTCTGTATCACTTCCCTAATACAAGAGTTGATTTAGAAATTGTTTACATTTCACCCAGCCTCAAACATGAACAAATGAAGTAAGAAAAATGCAGATTAAGTGCACCACAGTCAGACAGACAGACAGAGGGAGCGTGACTGTCCATTATTGTTTGACACCAGCTGTTCCATGTCATCCTCTCAGAAGCTCCTCTCCCTCTCTCTTGTCTCATACCCTCTCACACGTCCGAAGAAAGGGTCATTTTTCACGCTGGTAATTGGCGGCCAGGCGCATTGCCCTTGGGATTCGATAATTCATAACCTCCTACCATCTGATATCGGAATGTGTATGGGAATGGCTGCAGACATGGGGCAGTGTGTGCAGAGGAGGTGGCAGCATCATTAGAGAAAGGAGGTAATGGTTCTTATTGATCCCACCCCCCTTATACAACCATTTCATGTTTAAAACAACACTGATCCTCATTACCAAACCACCACTGCCGCTGCACCCTTATGAGAAAGAAGGAAAAGGTGAGGAGGAGAACAAAATAAATGAAAACAAAAAGTGGCCACAGCTTGGGTTTGCTTAAGTCTGGACTCAAGTGGTACAAGTAATTACCTTCATCTTTTAATGCAGTACTTTTTTTTGTAAGATTTTCCTTTATTTCTTTGCTCATCCCTAATGCCCCACAGTGTGAATTAAGGCTAAAGAAATTACTTAAATATCCGCTGCTTGGATCTGTCAAATTACTCTCAGTGTTATTATCTGCATTTTGCCACGAACACGCTGCTCGTTCTTCATGTTTGGCCACAGGCAAACATTTTCATTATGGAGCAACACTGGCAGAGCATGTCTCCATTTACTGTGGCTGTTTAGACTTTTTTAAGTGGATAATGTACTGCAGCAAATTGGTTCATACACCTGTAATTACCAAAGTGAAAAAGAGGCTCAGGAGGTAGAGCAGGTATGAATGTTCAAATCTGGCTCTCTATCCATGTGAAATTTGGCATGGCAGTCTACCCCAGGGCAGTTTACTATTTTGACATGTTACTTTGGTTTATACAAATAATTAACTAATACTTGAGGTTCTTTTAAAAAAAAATACAATGAGTCTTAAAGGTCCTATTGTACACTAAATGGAGTGTTGTGATCTTTAAGCTGTTATAGTGTTGTTACATGCTTAAAAGCATACCTGGAGTTGTGTTTTGTTTCATTTACACAAGTTTGAGTAAACTTGTAAGTGTAAGCAAAAACCTTAATTATAAGTTTGTCTACATCTCCAAAGATCAAAATGCTCTCTTCCACCTTGTGATTTCATGCAGTGGTAGTTTTCAGGTTAACAGCTCCTTTTATCTTTAGTTCAGTAGAGACTGTCAGTTCTATGACTGAAATGATCCAAATGATGCAAGTGAAGGTGTATGGAGTTTAAAAAATAGTGAAGCACTTTCTGTATTACCGCATGCCAGATATGCAGGGTTTGTGTGTTAAACATGTTTAAATGAAACAAAACACAAAT